TTGAAGTGCGCAGCTAGAGGAAACATGCTCAATCAAAACCTCCAGGATTCTCTTTTCCCAAATCGGGTTTCTTGACCACTTCACACTGCTAAACACTCAGCCTTTCGTACGTCTTTGTAATATTTAAGATGTTGATGAACATTTTCCTTAGCACCTTTATTGCAAAAATGTACCATCTACCTCTTGATACAAGTTTCTTTCCAGAAGCTCAGAAACAACGTGTAGCTGAAGGTACACTTCAGAACATCTTGAAATGAAATAGAAGAAGGTTTTCACACACGTATGACGCTATCACCAGATCACAGATATCGACTGGCAGGGTCAAGCTGCCGTCTACACATAGACAGGATCTGCTTCCCTAGTCTCCCATCTGCCCAGGTGAGAGGAGACAATTCAAACTGAGGTAACACAAACGTTTTTGAGCTATCACCATAAAAAAGCATTTTTGTCATCCAAGTTCCATGACTGGCAAATTGGATATAGACTGATGTACAAAGAATATAACTGATAATCTCTTACAATACAAGAAAGTTAACCTCAGATAATAATACCTTTAATACAAAAATGATAGGGATCCAATTTTATAGAGGAAGTGATAAAACTAGTAACTACATACTCACTAAGGAGAGAAGCTGGTTTATTGTCTCATCAATCATATCAACAGATAAGCAAAACCTGCAACATTTATCTATACTCCTCTTGTTTCAGAAAGGATTTAATGATAATAATGGAAACAAAAAAAAAAAAAAGAGAAAGATGCTTAGACCTTTACTGCAGGCCACTCTTCCCAGATCACACTACCATAAGATCCTACTTCTACAGCAGCAGCACTTGTGCTGCGATGGTGGCGAGAGTAGTATTTCCTTTAAAAAAAAATACAGAAATCTGAGACCAATGTCTAACAATGGAAACAGTTACTGAATATCACAAATTAAATGACTATTATGCTAATTAAAATTATAATTACATACTAATACTTTTCTGAAATTTCAGATATTTTAAATTGACAACAACTATACATAGACATGGGGTACAATGTGTTACTTTGGTGCATGTATATGTTGTAAAATGACCAAACCAGTGGCATATTCATCCCTTCAAAAACATTTACCTTTCAATTCCTGGTACCAAAAACCCTCAAACTATTTATCATTTCTTTGTGATAAAAACATTCAAAATCTTCCCTTCTTGTTATCTTGAATTACACAATTTTTAAAACTAGTTACTTTACTGCATTATAGATTACAAGAATGTACTCTATCTAACTGGAATTCTGAACCAACTGACCAAGGTCTCTCTACTCCTATCCAACTGCCCCAAACTCCCTAGCTTCTGATGGCCAGTATTTCATTCTGTACATGTTTCTGTTTGTTTGTTTTGAGATATGGTCTTGCTATGTAGTTCAGGTTGGCCTAGAACTCACAGTAGTCTTTCTGCCTCAGCCTCCACCGTACTGGGATTATAAGTGTGCGCCACTATGGTTGGTGCCCTGCACATGTTTGTATAAGGTGAGCTTTTTTAGGCTCCAAAATTGAGGGCAGGGCTGGTGAGATAGCTCAGTGGTCTAAAGTGCCTGCTTAGTGAAGCTTAGGGAAGCGCAGGGACCACGGTTGGATCCTTGGCACCACGTGGTATGCCAGCCCCGCCCCCAGGGGGGGCTGAGCCAGCCCCCTCCCCCCACACATACACACATACACTGAGGGCAATCACAGTGTTTGTCTCTCTCTACCTAGCAGCTTCACAACCTATGTCTTGAAGAAGAATTGGTATGCAAATGGCATATTTCCAGTGTATGATATGAACTGTTATGTAAAAATGCATACCAATTATACAAGCACATTTTTGGAGAAATAATGTGACCTCATTATTAACATATCTATTGAAGTGGTTTAAAGTGATTTTATAGAGAAAACATGCTATTCATGTAATTATACCACTGTATTGTGAGAAATGAGGAAGAAAAATTCTAGACATTAGTAACATATTTCAAACTCTGTTGAAAGCAAAGTATAAACTCTTATTATTCAAAAAGAAATATATGGAGATCACTGAACTCTGGACAACACCAGAAACACATGATATAAAATACTGACTGGAAAACGAAGCTGATATTCTACCTCAGTACTACCCTAAGGTTCAGTAATCTTTTTTTTTTTGTACCAGGAATTGAACTCATGACCTCGCACTTGCCAGGCAGATATATCCTGAGCTATATTCTTGGCCCTTCAGTTATTATTGAGAACCAAAAGTTACAGTATGAATTAAATTTGAGTCACTCTTAATGTAGTACAGTTATCCTCCCATAACTGTGAGGGGCTGGTTGCAGGATTCCCTGCAGACACCAAAATCTACAGATACTCAAATCCCTTATCAAATGTTGTAGAGTACATCTGTGGTCCTCCTGTACATTTCCTATCATCTCAGAGACTGGAACATCTAACGTAACATAAGCCCTATGCAAACAGCTGTTTTACAGTATTGTTTAGGGAATAACAGCAAGAAACAAAGTCCCTATGTGTTCAGTACAGATTTTCTCTGAATATTTTCAATCAGAGGTTGAATAGATCCATGGGTGCAGAACCCAGATATAGAGGGCCTGCCATATATGCAAATAAAATATATAAAAATAAAAATGGGCAAAAAAACCACTAGCAAAATATAATAAATATGAATTCTTACACAGGTAGCCACAGTAACAGTCTAGTGATACCCAATGGCAAACACAAAATAACATTTGAAAGACTTCTCCTCATGCTTACCAAAAAACAAATGTTTCATTGAATATTTAATAAAGCATCAAAAAAAGTAAAAACAAAGTAGAAAGCGTTATGAAGACTTTTGTCTTTGCACTAAAGGGTCTGGCAAATGATCGTGCTCACAGTTAAGTAAATGATCACTCCCAAAGCTGAAAAACCTGACAGCATGGCTGGGATGGAGACGACTCGTTACTGTATTAGGAACTCGGTCACTGCGCTCCGTAGGCAATGCATTACCCTCAGGTTCCCTGAGGACACTGTCCGCTGCACACCTCTCTCAGCACTCTCTCTTGTTGTACAATGGTCCTTGGAGTTTTGATTCACCTGTGCGTCTGTGAAGTTCTGAGCATCATTTCAACCTGTAAGCCTCTGCACACTTGCACCCTGCCTCCCTTGCCGATTCTGTAGCGCAGACCTGCTGCCCGGTTGCTCCATTTCATGACAGCTATAAAACGAACCTTTTAATGTGCAACCATGTCTCTCTGCTTTTCACTCCCTGATTACAGCTGGAAGAAATTTCAAGATGAAAACAAGGAGAGAATGCAGATTCTTCATCTGAATGCCCGTGTGAGTTGGGCTCGCGACTTCTGGTGGAAGACTGTGGCTCTCCCGAGGTGCAGCTGGCTTCTAGTCTGGGAGAGCTGTGCTTTACTGCTGGGAAGTGCATCTGGTGTTCTCTGGTGGTCAACGGCAGCTAAACTCAAATGATCTTTGTCCTTGGTCTCTGACAATGAGTGCTGTTTACTGCATGCTTATTTCCTGCTGTAGTAATTTAACTTTTTTGAAATGATCTCAGGGTCACAGGAAAAAGTACAAATAATGATATTTCTGAACAATCTGAAAGTAAGAGGCTACCAAGATGTGTCTAGGTGTGGTGACGCACACCTGTAATCCCGACTACTCAGGAAGCTGAGGTGGGAGGATTCCAAGTTGAAGCTCAATGGGGCAATTTAGTAAAACTGTATGAAAATAAACAATAAAAAACGGTGGGGATATAGCACCTTAGCTCGATGTTTAGGGCTGAGTCAATTTTAGAGTAAAAAATGTAGCACGGGGCAGGCTGCAGGAAGGACATTTGTTTTGGTGTGAGGGCCGGAAAAGCAGGCAGAGCAGCGTCTTGCTTGGCCACTGCCGAGGTGCGGCTGAGCAAGGTAGGATTTTCGCCGCTCTTCACGTCTGAATGGTCTGTGGCAGAAGTGCCAGAAGCACTGATTTCCAGTCTCAATACATTTAATCAAGTAGGCAGATTTGCAAACACTGAATCTGCACATCACGAAGACTGATTATGTTTTTGAATGTTATACTGCATCGATCTAATTATGTCTATCAGAATAAACTCATGGTTTCCTATTTTATTCAATTGAGTAGGATGTTAATACCAACATTTATTTTGATGCTCAAACTGCCCCAGATTTGGCCAGTGAGGGCCCTTTCAGCTGATTTCCTCTTTCTCCTTTGAACACTTCTTCACTTTTTGACACGAAAAGCTCCAGTCCTGCATTCAAGGAGCCAGGTTCCTTTTAGTGAAGACACCATTTAGCAACCACCATGGGAATATAGTACCAGGTGTGTCCAGTGCTATAAAATACTACTCTCCACCCACATGAGATTCAGTTACTTATAGTTACACTTATTTATGTACTTAACTACATGTCGAAAACACCAGGATCTTCTATTCTAAGGCACCAGAACATTCACTTTAATTTCCTTTTTCACGTCTGTTCTTGCTTTCTCAGATTAGAAGTCCTAGCCCTCGTTATCCCTGATCTGCCTACTGGTGAGAGCAACCCCTGTGAGCGTCCGATCTCTTGCTGCTGCCCCTCTGCTCTGTCCTCCTTCCCCTCCACATGATGCTCCACTCTGATGTCTGCACAGATCAGCACTCCGCAGGAATGAAAGCCCTCTACACCACACCGCCAGGTCTCTTTTCCTTTCCTTACTGGCTCTAAGAAGTCTGGATCCAGGTGCCAAGCTCCTGTGAAGCAGACTTCATGCATGCTTGCCATCCGATCTCCAACTCCAACTCCAGGACCATGATCAGATGAGTGAATAAATGTGCTGCTGGCGAGGTGGCTTGGATACCTGTCCTTTGGTTTCTCCCGTTCTCTGACAGGTAGCATGCCTGATACTCCATGTTTCATAAGACAGTTCAAAACCCTCAATTCAATGAAATCAGACCATTCCTATTAGAACTGCAAACAGCCTAGTCACCAATTCTTTGGGGAATAAAAGACAGTACGCTACCTCTGTACTCGGTACACTCGAGTCCATGGAGGCACGAGGGCTAGGATCCGAGCCACCAGTTCGATCAGGTCACTAGGAGAGTAACTCTTGTATCGTCCTGATTTCCAAAGCTCGTACAGCCCCGTGCCGCGAATCACCAGGGTGGGGTAGAGCTTCATACCATCAGGGCGAAAAGCAGGGTTCTCAAAAAACTCCTGTGAGTAGAGAACAGAAAGTCACTTCTTGGTAAATTAGGTAGGGGTTACCCATGGCCTTGGTTCCTTTCCTCGTGTTGCTGAGACAAATTACCGGATGCCCCAATTAAGGAAGGAAAGGCTTATTTAGCTCAGATTTTGTAGAGGTTTCAGTCTGTAATCAGCTGGCTCCAGGGTAGGGTGGTGTGGCAGAGGAGCAATAGTTCACGGTGGCAGAAGAGTGTCAGCAACGAGAGCCAAAAGGAGGTGTGGGGGGAACAGGGTTACTTCCTCCCTTATATTGTATGCATGCTACTGGCCCTTGAGTAAGTGTGGCACTCACACCATCTCCTGTCCTCTTCCTCTTGCACAGTCTCGGGGTGTGCACAAAGTGAGGCCCCGGCCCACTGCTGAATCAGTTAGTTAAGCGAGGCCAGACTTCTCAAGGTGACACAATGAACTTCCTCCTAGGGGGAAGTGCCTGTTCTTTACACCCAGGATGTAGAGCTGCTGAGTTATTCAGTCCAGTGTCTAGACTTCTCAAGTTGACAATGTATCAATCATTATACCCACCCAGTCTCAAGCCTGAGCCAGCTTCTCTTACCCCCACAGCAGAGTGAGGGGCCAAGTGAGGGGATGGGACAGGACTTGTCCTCATAGCGTCATGGGTACCAGGTATGTGAGTGCTAGACTCCAAGGCCTCTTGTCCGGTTCCTGTCTATAGCCACTTGAGCTCATGTCCCCCCTCCAGGCTGCCTTTCTGCCTTTGCAAAGGCCAGGCTCTCTGTGTGGAAAGTCAGCAACTTTCCTTTGTCTAGCTAATCTTCCATCTCACCTGAATGCCATGCTTGGGAGCCCTTCCTGATCTTCAGATGCTAAGTGCTACACCCTTCCCCAATATTCTGTTGATCCTTATATTACCTTTTGCTGTCAGAATCATGCCATCTATTCAATATCTGCCTTCACCTCCTGACTATAGCTTCCTTTAACAATGGAATATACTTGTTTACCTTGTAAAAGTTGTGACAGAAACATAGAAAACAACAAAAGTTGTGACTGATATCATCTGGCTTATAAAACATACACTAACCACTAAGAAGAATATATGCAGTGTATTATTTGTTGAAACTGTACTTCCGATTTGATTTGAAACTGTCTCATTGCTATCTGTTTATCAATAAAACTTTGAAAAAAAAATAAAATAAAACATACACTGTTCGCCACATGGGTTATTGCTGAAAAAGTCTACTGAGTTTTGATGCAGCTATCTTCTCAGGCCAACTGGCACTAATGCTAACCCGAATTGTACACTGTCCACTTGTTATCTGGACAGTAGGTGACACACTGAGCTCATTCATTTTTGGCACAGTCATTTTTTATGCTATGCTGTCACCTACAGCCACCTTATTTCTTTACTTATGATGCAGCAAGGAGACACCAGGCATTGTCCTTCCTATGGCTTTGCACTGATCATTTGCTCCAACCTTGACTGTGCATGGTACGTGGCGGCCAGACGAAGGTGAATTCACGCAGCTTCCTCTTACCCCTGAGCTGACATTAGTGACTATCTGGCCAGCCAAGCTCTACTTTCCTCATTACGTAGGAAATGTAAAAATGCTTGTTATCACCTGCTACATTATTCTTGCAAAACTTTCTACTGTTTAATGTGCTTTTTAAAGAAATCTAACTACAGGGTTTTGAGCTCTCACTGACTTAACAGTCTCAAATGCTGCATTCTTTGTGAGCCATATGGTCTTAAGAGATACTGCTCTGTAATTGTTGTCCCCATAACACTTATGAAGATGCATCAGGTATTTAATAAACATTCTAGCCAGCCACAAAGAGTGTGGAGGGAAGTACTTCTCTACTCAGTCTGAATCCATGTTTGACCTGAGATTTCAGGAAAGTACTTCTAGTTCCAGGAGACATGTGGCCTGATTGCTGCCTTTGTGTGAGTGATGACAGATTGTCCTGGTTCTGGACTTTTAGTTAAAGACAGGGAATTAAGGTAAGTGCTTCAGTCCTTTCCCTCCAAGACCACAATATAGGAAAGATTTTTAAAAAATGTACAAACTTAGAAGAATAAAGAGAACACAAAAGAAAACCACAGGGCGTTAACTGAGGGCAACAAGGTCCTCGAAAACACAAAATGGATGGAAGACTAGTGAAGTGGCTTTGCAAGCATAGAAAACTGCAAGATAACAGTGAAAGGCCAGCTCGGTTATGCCAGAATCCCAGCCAGGCTTAGCAGTCAGAAGTCCCAGGACCTGGGGAAGAAGGGAGACGTGGCAACCAAACAGGAGCCTGGTTCCGAGGCTGCACTCATTTACCTCTGTTTCCTGTATGGGACAGGAGGAGGTAAATTCCCTGGTGTCATGTGTATATTTAGATGTACCCCCTCCCAAGCCTCACATTAGGTGGGGCGTTGGGGAGGTGACTAGATCACAGAGTGTGATAGGATAAGTGAACTGACTCAAGGGGAAGCCTGGCTGGAGATGGGTGACTGGAGGTGTGGCCCAGAAGGGTCTACCTCCCTCTTCCTTGAAGTCTCTCTGCTTCCTGCTGCCATGCCCAGCCTGTTTCTCCTCTGGCAGTCTCCTCCACTGTACTGCCCTATCTTGGAGCCAACTGACTACAGATCAAAGCCTCTACAATTGTGAGCCAAAGTACAATTTTCCTCCTTTACACTGTGAATGTCAGTATTCTGTCTCAGTGATGAAACAAGTAAGAAGATTCTTGGAGAAGTTGGAGAGGTGCTAGACTCTGAGATTCTAAGCACAAAGGAAGGCCTGGGTGAGGACCAAGGCTGGCAAAAAGGGAAGCTGATGGTGGACATTCTGCCCTGCTCTCTGGGTGTCAGCAGGCAATTTCCTGTGACTAACCATGCTACCTACCACCAGGCAGGAAGCTGGAGTAATCAAATGGCTCTGCAGCAGAGCTGAAAGCACTGACTTTAGGAATGCTCTATAGGAATCTTATTCGATGCATGTCTTTCAGTGGAGTACACTTGTAGCTAGTTATAAAGAGCCAGCAGAAGATCCTTAATCTGCAGAAACAAGCATTTGGTTAAGAATCCCCAGAAAGCTGGGAAAAGTCTAGAACATGATAGGAATATCAAAATAAAAATAAAAGGACACTGAAGCAAAACTTTAAAAAATCAACCCTCTGTTTCCTTCAGAGATACAACATCACACCTATAAAACAAGAAAAGGATGCTGCAGAAAATTGAACAAGAATATGGGAAAGAAATTCCTATAACAAATTCTTTGTTATAATTTCTTGGAAATTTTAACAAAAATAAAACATAAATAATACAAAGTTTGAAAGACATAGTTAAGGAAATAGTAAGAAAAAATACATGGAAAATGGAAAAGGCAGGAGTATTAGATGACCAATATGGAAGACCCAACTTTTGCTTAAGTGGAGTTATAGGCAAAAAAGAACTGCAGATAAGCCAGGCTGGTGGTACAGGCTTGTAACCCCAACACTTGGGGGTCTGAGGCAAGAGGACTGCAAGTTTGAGTACAACCTGGGTTATACATGTAAGTGAGTTCAAGATCAGCCTGAGCTACACTGACCTACACAATGGGACTCTGTTCAGAGACAGGAATAGAAAGGGAGAGAGAGAGAAACAGATAAACAGGGGGAGGGAGGAAAAAGAAGAGGAAGAGGAGAAGTAGAGAGAAAGAAAGAAAAAGCAGACAATGAAAAATCTAGGCAATAAGATGTTTGATATTCAGACAGATAGTGAGGTTAAGCTTAACAGCCTAGGTTGTATGGTAGTAACAATAAGCTTGTCTTCTGGATGGTTAACAACCTAAGTTTGCAGACCAAAATTAGAGAAAAGGGAGGGCTGCAAGGAAAGCCAACATTTTGGTCATAGCCTTCCAAGGTCACTTAAGACTCAGGACATATGAGAACTTGTACTGTAACGTCACGTAACTCAGTAGTGTCCCAAATTTGCTGATCAAGGAGATTATGGGGCCAAAGAGGAAAGTGATTGATGATGTAGAGTGTGCCTAAGGAGAGTCCCATGGAGAGAAAACATTCTCTCAGGCTTTCACAGAGAGCACATTGGCCAAGCAATGGCCTTGACTCATCCACATGGCTGACAATGACAAAGGTTCTACAATCTGAGGTACAGGATCTCAGGATAAATCCTGAGGGGATTTCACTGACCTTATCAGACCCAAAAGCTACAACTCTTGTTACATAGGTCCTGCTTTACCTTGGTCTTAACCATCCAGCAGAAAAGTATAAAAACTAAGTATAAGAAGTAAAGCCATGGTGTTATGTTGAGCTGTAAGGGACTCTGGTCAACAATTTCTGACATTGCCAGTCAAGCAGAAGACCCAATATTATTATGGACCTCTGAACTCTTAGAATATTTTGCTGAGTTTACACACCTATAATATTTAAATGACAGAACTTAACCAAAAAAAGGGGATACAGATGAATGTCTATTTGATATCTGTGTATTCAAAGAGGTTAGGATAGATATATAATTACATTCTCTTAATGAATAGAGGGATTTGTTCTAATGGTGTTTGTAAATAGAATATCAAGTCCGCATCTTGTACAGCAATTAACCATTAGGAAGAATGTATGCAATGTGTTAATTATTGAAACTGTCCTACCAATTTGGTTTGAAACTGTCTCATTATTAGTTTCTCAATAAAATTATGGGAAAAAAAAAGAAAAAATCTAGGCAAAATTAACCATTACTATAAGAAAGTTTCCCATGTGGTGGGGGCCTTCAATGTCTAACATAACTAATTAGAAACTTCCTACTGAGATATACCACTGTGAAATTTCACAACTTATAGGAGATAAAAAGAATTTCTTAAAAATTTTTTGAGGCAAATCTCCCCAGGTATATACATTCTAGGATTCAGGAATCAGGAATACTGTACAGGATTAAGATCAGCACAGTATTGGACTCTTAATTAAGAGCAATGTTAAAAGCTGTAAGACAGGGGGCCTGGCCCTAGCTCAGTCCTTTAAGTGGCTGCTTCCACAAAGCTGTCAGCCTCAGGTTGCTGGAGTTCGAACCTCACAACTCTCCCGCTGGCCAAAAGTGCCCTGAAGGCATTCGAGGAACCAAAAAAAAAAAAAAAAAAGCTGTAAGACATAATTTTTTAAAAAAATCTAAAGTGAAAGAACTTTCACGCTTGAGTTCTATAGTATACAGACAGCATGCAAAAATGTTTACTTCTCATGAAGAACAGCTTTCTAGGAAGCTGCTAGAGAACATGTTTTGGCAAAATGAGAGCTAACAAGTTAGATAACCTGAGATCCAGCGAAGGAAGGATCGGGCCCAGAGAGCAGGACGACACCTGTGCAAGAGAAATGGGCAGCACCAGTCCGGCTTGTAGCTGAAGAGCAGGCCCCTGCCTGCCAGTTAGGTCTCCTGGCTAAGAAAGGCATAAGATAAGAATCCCTAAGCAGGCAACCTGTCTAGGGGGCTTTAGTGCTGAGCGCATACAGCTGAAAACATGATGAATACTGAGCAAGAAAATACAGCGGTTGGCAATGCCAGAGAAAAACAAGGTTATTTGAGAACAGAAATGTTTTTCTCACATTTGGTTGACTTAAATACAGATATAAAAATACTGAACTATTAGGAAGGAAGGATAAAACAATTAAATGTTCAATTTCCAAATCAGCAAGGCAAAGGAGCCTATCTAAAACTGATAAATCAAAAGCAGCAATCTAAGTAGGGGATTAAAAAATATGGAGAGAAGTACTAAGAAAGAAAAATCCAGCTACTGCTTTGTGATTAGGACCTCTTCAGCATTACTGGGTTTCAGAAGGTTATTTAATTGGATTTCTACTTTCTAACAGCCTTTGTGAAATAAAGATAAAAATGAACTTAGCAGATAGCACTCTGCTAATGACACATGTGAAGGGAACCAGGCTGGCGGCAGTGATCGGTGAGATGCTAGCTGTGCAGTGGGCTGAGGGAGCCTGCCGGGCAGCGGCGACACAGGCAGGAAGGGCAGCAGCTCTGAGAGATACCGGCAGGAGGCGGGAGGACTTCTGGCCAGGCAGGCCACACCACCAGCTGCTGCGGTAGCCAGGTACCTCCTGGGGTGTCTGTGTGGCACCCCAGTTAATCTCCACAACAGGTGGAGGTTGTCCTGGCCTCACTGAAGAGGTGAAGAAACCAAGGAAGGAAAGAAGCAGTGAAACAGTTTGCTACTAAGTGGTGGGAGCCAGAATTCAAATGTTGGAAAATGTGGAAGTAGTAAAGCCAAGGATGACAGATCAAATCAGACAGATATTTAAATATTTAACATCTTAAAAGGATCAGGCTGCAGCATGGGTCAAAGCTTATTATAATGTTAAGGTAAAAAAAGCTATCAAAAGAATGACCCATCTCATATGCATGCAGGCATGTGGGCATGCCTGCACTGCATGAGGGTAAACAATCCCACTCCCCCAAAATCCTGGGCATGAAAGAACACTGCCAAGAGTGTATTAAGAGTTCTGTCTGACGTTGGGGCTATGGGCAGGCTTCTCTTTATTGCATTTCTAATATTCCAGCTGAACAGAGACAATCTATAGCCAACAAGGCAGAGGGGTCTACACAGCACGCAGACCCATTCAGCCCGCTATAGGTGACACTTACTATGAACTGCTCAATGTCGCGTTCTAGTCCCACGTTTGGCAGATCAGGCATCATATGAGCCACGACTTTGAAACCAGAATCTTTGGCCAGGTGGAATGACTCACACGCTGCCTTCACAGTGTGGCCCCTGGGGAAAGAAAGTTCACAACTGTCATGCAAACAAAAGGACAACGAAGTTTACACAGGGGGCAGAAGAAGACAATCTGTGAGACCAAGAGATGCACAGCCGGGGAAGCAAAATCTCTGAGGAGGCCTAGAAGCAAAGCATCTCACTTCAGAGATACTTCTCAGAACTCCTCTCATGCCCACTTACAGTCCTGAAGTAAATGACGGGGTAGTAAGGATCCAGGAGTACTGCAGTGATCGCGGTTAGGACAGTCAGCCAATACAAGCTGATTGATGTACATATCTACGTTAAAATGAGAATACTGAGTTCAAAACCAGGCAGAAGCTGCAGCTTACTGTACTCCTTCCTTTAAAAATCTTGTGAAACTTCTGGGAGACAGAAGAAGAGTGAACCCTAAAATACAGAACAGATTTGACTGGAGGGTCCTAAACTAAGAAAACCTGGGAAGAGACACTGCCTTAGTGAGAAGGCTGCATGGGCAAATTCTCATCACACCCACTCTAGTGCCACAGCCAAGGAGGAAGCGAGCCTCAGCCATGGCTTGGGACACTGAGGAGCCAAGCCTGGTGTCAACCCCTTCTTCCACCAGCACAGTGGCATTCACCACAGAAAGTTCCTAGACTGCATTCCACTGCACTCCCCTGGACAGTCCCATCTATGCCCATGGCTCCAAGTTTTAATCTCGCTTGGCTAAGGACTCCCAAGGTTCTCTGACGAAGCTAGGCTTGTCCCCCGAATTCCATGCCCAAATAACCAACATCTCAAAATTATACTGTATGATACCCTAGCTGCTAGGTATGCTACTTTCCAAATTATTTAAGTGGAATAAAAGGCAACATTCAGTTTCATAGCTGTACTACCTTGGGCAGTGCAGGTATAGAGCATTTCTGCCACTACAAACCCTGCTCTAAAGCTAGCCTTCCACTGGTGGCCACACTGGTATTTACAACTTAGTGCATCTAAAATGAAACTCATTTCTCTCCAAACTCCCTGGACTTCCTATTTTTATTTTTAATCATTTATTAAACATTGTCACTCACTTCTTAATGGGCTATCAGTACTTCCTGCTTAAGTTACCAGGACAGCTTCATGTTTTCTATATGGGAAAAGCTGTCTATGGTGATGGTGGCGGGGGATGCACATGGTTAAAGGATACTGGAAGAGGGGCCACACAGCGGGTCTAAAAAGGAGGGAAGAAGGGATGGAATGAAGAGCAGAGTGGAAGAAAAGACTCTGAAACAAGGAATCCTAGACTCCTCTGTCTGACACTGGCTAGAAGGGAGAATGTATACGAATGTGAGGAGACTGGGGAACTGAGGGACAGAAACAACCTGTGGATGATCATTTGCCACCCTCTCACCTGTTGGTATCCCTGGCCACATCTTCGTACACACTCTGCACTCCGATCTCCAGCCTTGTGCAGCCGTAGGTCAACATGTCACTTAAGTGTCGCTTCATGCAATAATCTGGCCTGGTCTCGATGGTAATTCCAATACACTTTGTGAGGCTTCTCTCAGAATACCTGTGGAGCACATTTAAAGTAACAGATCTGCTACAATCTTGGGTCACTTTCTTCTACTCAAAGGACTGCCTTTCCTTAATCTGCCTAGGATGTGGCAGTGGTTATGTGCAGGCGATGGAGGCGGACTAAGTTCATATCCAAGCTCTGCTACTTCCCACCTATGTAAGTGGCACTGCTATTAACCTTTCTGGGCTTCAGATTCCTTACCTGAAAAATGACAATAATAGCAGTACCTCCACCTCACAGGACTGCTATGACTGAGCTAGCAGATCAGAATGTTATTATCATTATCCTTATTATTCTCATGCAATGTGCTGCAACTGTAATCTTCTGGAAAACAGTGATTTCACTGTGAAAACCTATTTTTCAATTCCTAGCAACCGTTTTTCACATCAGTGAAAACCACCTGCAATATTTCCCGCTCCGTATTTCAGAGTTATTTTAAATAAGAGGCAAAAAAAGGAGAGGGAGAATATATGTAATGATCATAGGAATAATTTAAATGAAATACCTTCTACATATACAGAACGTTTCCACCAAGCCTATTACTCTTTAGTAATGATTTACAAAATCAGAAAACACTTTTGTCATTTACTAAAAGTGGGTATCCAAAAAGTGAGCACCACGTTAGAGTTCAGCTATGGGAGTTAGTGGTCTTACTGCTGTCCGCAGAAAAACAGGAGGCAAATCACTTGCTCAGGGGCTGATGCCATGAGAAGACAGAGTCGCTTGGTTATGGCCACCCTGGGCCAACGACTAGGCCATGGGCTCTTAATATGTGAACCTTCCACTCTATGTATCCTATTTCAAATGAAGATACTGAAGTTCAAAGAGAATAAACAGCTTTCCCAAGGATACCACACTAAAAAAATTCAAGTCAGGATGTGAATTAAGTAAGGTCTTATGATATGAAGCAAACACACAAAAATCAACTGCATGCCTAATGCTGCACACAACCTAAAATTCTGTAGCATTAACAAAAACATTCTGGAAAAAAAAAGTTAGAAAAGGTTTATACTGAGCATTGCTAAGGCAAATTAAAGATGTAAACGTGGGGCCGGGGAGATGGCTCAGTGGAATAAGCGCTTCCCTGGCAAGCACAAGGGCCTGAGTTCAATCCCCGGTTCCGCAAAAGAAAGAAAGAAAGAAAGAAAGAAGTAAACGAATGAGATAGACTATATTTATGAATTAGAAGACAATAAATGATTAATTTCCTGTAATTTCCATCACCCTTTTTAACAGAAATTAGCCAGCTGCTTCTAAATTTTACAAAGCAATGCAAAAGACTGAGACTTTAAAAAGTCTTGAAAGCAGTTTCAAGGATGAAGACCAACATTACTTGACTTCAAGATACAGCAAGAAGCTACATACAGTAATTGACGCTGGGCAGCACCAGCAGGACTGGCTAGGGCAGAAGAGCCCAGCCCCATGTGAATGCAGTCCTTTGATTTCTATAAAGTTGGGAAGCAGTTCAAATGGAAAAGGATTATTTATTTAGTTTTTGCTCCTCGAATGCCTTCAGGGCACTTTCGCTGGCTGGAGTGTTGTAGGGATCGAACTACCGCAACCTGAGGCTGACAGCTTTGTGGAAACAGCCACTTAAAGAACTGAGCTAGGGCCAGGCCCCAGGAAAGTTTTTAGATATTCAACATAACTTGCCATATATAAAGGTAGAAACAAAATCCCGATGCTTAATCCACATTATACATAAAGTTAATTCAAGGTCATCATAAACCCTAAATAAAAGCTACAAAATACTGTTAACTAGAAAACACAAGAGAAAAATCTTTATGCCTTGGGAACATGTAACAGTTTACTAGAAATAAAACAGAAAGTAATAACCCTAAAAGAAAAATACTGATAAAATAGATCTCATCAATTCTACTCAAACATATCATTAATACAATGAACAGTCAAACAACAAACTGGGTTTTCAAATTTACACAAAACAGATCTGATAAAGAAATGGGTTCCAGGATACTTAACAACACAATAAAGAATGAGCAAAAGATTTTAACACACTTCACGAAGGAAACATATTCAAGTAGCATAAGCACATACTAAAGTGCTCCATGTCACTAGTTGGTAGGAAAACAAGAATTAAAACCTTAATATCATTTCAAACCCACAGAATTACTAAAATTAAACTGTCTCGGGATTGGGGCTTAGACTGTCTAAAGTGGTCACAAGGATGAAGGAAGACTCACATCACTTGACTTCAGGACACTGTAAGAAGCTATAGTGATCGACACTGCAGTGCCAGCACCAGGCGCTGCTAAAGTCGGAATGGCTGCCTCGGGAAGGCACAGGGGAGGACTTCTTGAGAAAAGGTGTGGCTCAGGGGCATAGCATTTGTGTAGCAAGTGCAGGGCCCCAGCACAAATGTGCGCGCATGCGTGCACGCGCACACACACACACACACACACACACACACACTCTCTCTCTCCCAAAAACAAAAGGATTGGCGCTACCACTTGTTTCTGAGGCTAGAGAACCATCAAGTGCTCAGCCATGACTGGTGAGAGTACAAATGATACAATCATTTGGAAAAATGGCTGACAGTTTCTTATAAAACTAAACAAAGCTAGCAATTCTAGTTACTACCCATAGAAATAAATACGTATATCCACAAAGACTTGTATAAGGATGTTCTGTGAAGTTTTATACATAGTCACATACTGAAAATGGCTGCGGTATCCATTAACAGAAGAAGGGACAAACTGGTTGTTGCTTGACAGAATACTGTTTGGTACTAAAAAGGTAACAAGTACTAAATTCCTAATAACATTGATGACTCTTAAGACACTGTGCTCAGTGAAAGAAGTCAAACAAGATGCTACATGCTAGACGGTTCCATTTATAGGAATTCTGGAATAGGTAAAATCCACCTGTGGCGAGGAAAAATCAGAATAGCTGCCTCTGCAAGGTAAAGGTGAGCGTTTCCTGAGAAGGGCATAAAACAACTTTCTGGGATAACGATAATGTTTTATAATTTAATAGAGCTTTGCTGGATAGGTACATGTTGCATTTCTCAAAACTACTGGTATAATTAAGATCTGTATATTTAACTATATGTAAATTTACTTCAAAAGAAAAGCAATGAACAACAAACACAGGTAATCCATGGAAAAGTACAGATCTGGAAAAAGGTATACTAGGCATGCAGCTTATTGTGAAATGTATACACACACACACACACACACACACACACACACACATGCATGCACGTCTGATGAATGCATAGCGGTATGAGCAGACATGTGACAAAGCAGGTACTGCAGAATCTAGGGTGACAGGTAAGTGAATGTCACTGGGAAGTTCTTTTAAATTTTCTTTCCATTAAAATGCTGGAAGAAAACTAGTATCTCCTTTAAGATAATCAGGCCTGTATCTTAGGTTACTGATTATATAAAGGGCCATCTACAAAAATCAGTCTATGTCAAAGGGTCAATACACTAAGTGAGGAGCAGAGAGTACCGGATCCAAAGCCCAGACCTTCTGGAGGCTCTGGGGCCTGCGGGTCCAAGGTCCAGCACAGCAAGGCGATGCACAGCACGTTCAAGCCTCGCAGGCTGCTTTCTTCCCTCACAGATCTGCAAGTCTAGGAAACGGACTTCGGGCCCTGGGACCCGGCACTGTCTAGCACTCACTTTTCCAAGACACATAAGGACACAGTTGGAAGATTTAAAGGCATTGGTGAGGGGGAAAGGAAGGAACGGAAATGAATTAAAAATTCCAAGGGAGAGAAGAGTGACTCACACACTTCTTGATGGGCAACTACCCTTTTAAATTGCATCTTGTGAAAACAGCCAAGGAGCATTAAAGATTGAATGTGAACCTGCTTCTGGGCAGAGCTGATTAAAAAGTAATAAAACTCTTCTAAAAGGTTCATCTGAGTTATTCGGCACATCTGTGTCCCGGTGAATGGGTGACTCAGAGTCCACTGTCGGTTCTCTTTATCTCCAGAGCTATGACTCTTAGGGATGACAGACACCAGTAACTGTCGCTCTCTGGAGATCGAGCTGATGGTAAGGAGTGATTAGCGCTGTGCTCCATGCAGTGATCCTGACCAGAGACCAGCTCTGTCCTTGAGCAGATCTCCGTTCATTCAGATTTCTAGTTTCCCCACTTACAAGGATATTATGTCCTGTGTGCCACAAATAACCAGGCTCACCTCACTGGAGTTTTTCTTCACCCTAATTCCTGATCTTCCAAGTAAGAGGCCAATTGTTAGAGGTTAGGCACATGAAAACAACCAGGGACACCTGAGCTAACAGTGAAGCCTGATCCTAGCTTGAACAGAGACTTCCACCCTTAAGACACTGTTGGCTCACCTGCCTCAGAATATAATTTACAACCTAGTTTAAAAGTAATCTTTAGGGGCTGGGGGATAGCTCAGTGGAACAAGTGCTTGCCCGGCAAGCACAAGGCCTGTGTTCGATCCCTGGTACCACCACCACACACACACATACAAAGTAATCTTTAAAGGCAATGAAAGCTAGCTATACCTGTGTAGTTGGCAAGCTTGAACACCTAAGAATTAGTAGCAAAAGAACCCTGAATTTCACCACTTTATACCTGAAGGAGGCCAGGCACAGTGGGAAAACCTGCCAGTTTCCACTACAACCCTCTGAACAACTTAATACAGAGGACAGCAAGGTCAAATCCAAAAATCTTGAAAAAAATGCCACGTATCAAAAATAGTTGCCCCGGGCTGCTTGTGATACTAATATTGGAAAATAAATTTCTGTGTCTAGTTCTCTAGTTCAAATAACATGAAATTTCCCCTAAAATGAATATCAACTCTAGTACAGGAAGTTGATAGAAAAACAATTTACCTCAACAAAGCAAATGGCTTTTTTCACATTGGCTCATAAAGATATAGCAATGAGAACACAGCAAAATGCAGAGTGGGCTGGCAGGGCTCAGGGCAGCATTAAGAATGGTTTTATGGGTCCCGGATTGCACTTTTATTATTTCCTAAGAGCCATTCATGAGATTTGTTGCAGTGAAGACTGAAATCATATATAAATTTTTATCTGAAAAGTAAAGTGTTTGTTGCCCTCTTGAGGTAAATTCAAGAATAGAAACAAAACAACTCTGGCTTTGTCTCCTCTATTACGGGAAGAGGCTTTCTCCCCCCCTAGGCATTTTGAATAAACTTCATGAACTGAAGTTTGCTTGTTTTAATGGTGCTAGCACATTTCTGTACAAAGATTCACATCAAGAATGAAGCAAGACTGTTAAGGTTGCAATCAATGAAGATGGCACATGGGCTACATCCTAGATACTCGTCATGCAGACCTCAGCTATGTCGTCTGCTTTGCGGAACCCAGCGCTGTACAGAACCCACACACTTCAGATATTTATAACTCGGTTCCACGTAAGAGAAAAGGTCTCAGAGCAAGAAACCTGCGTTGGGAGAGGAGTACATAAATGCAAGAGCTGGGGAAGAAAAACTTGGTGGTCTCCAAAGACCAACCTGTTGGGAGAGTTTCTGGGCTGCCTGTGTTGTGACCCTTTGAGGCACTACTGCCACTCCACAGTCTTGTGGCTTGGGACTAATTAAGTTAGTTTCCTCAGTCGCATTGCATCATATCAAAGCTGTCATATGATTTTTCAGTATCACGAGGAATGAGCTGCATGACATCATTACTCTAAAGTCTGAAGACTTCAGCGTTTTGTTAAGCATGAATCACGCTCATGAATGATCAAGACTTTGAATGAGTGGTAAAAATAGTTCCCATCTTACCCTGCAACTGACGCCCGTGTGGTGGCCAAGCACACTGCAAAGTCTAGATTCAGAGACAGAATTCATCTGTCACATATCCTAGAGTCGATCAAAGAGAAGCAGGCTGCTCACCGTGACACATATTCTCCTGGCAGCAGCCTCTCTGCAGGCCCCTTAAGCTACCCTTGTACTTTTATTTAAAATGATGAAAAAGCCCTTCTGTTCTTCTCATGTTTTACAAACTCAAAGGAGGCCAACAGAGGAAGCAAATGGTACACAAAGATGTCGCTATCCCCAATTTCAAAAGGCAACATCAGTAGCTGTCAATATTTGATCTACACATTAATCATTCATTCAAAATCTATTCACACATGTACTTAAGCCTACTATGTACTAAGCATTGCTTTAATTACAGGGTAATAAAGCCATTCTTGGTCCACTCAAAATTAGCACAAAAAACTCTGGCACACTTTGAAAACCTTATAATCAGCTGGATAATGTTCCCCCTTTTTTTTTTTTATAAACAAGGAGCCAGAGACAAGCCTGAGAGTTGCAGCAACAGCAGAGACCACGTTCCTTCCCACAGTGTCAAGTGCTAATGATGTACACATAGGCGTACAAGTATGCATGCACACATATGTACGCATATACCCATAAAGTGTACGCAGCACAATGTTTACTCCTAGCAGCTTCTAGCATTACAGCACAGGTCAGGCTCTGACAGCAAAGCAGCCTGGGGGCTATTTCTTCATTTTTATTTGTCTGCAGTACTGGAGCTTGAACCTTGGGCCTTATGCACATGAGGCAAACACTGTACCACTGAGTTTACAGTCCCAGTCCCTGTCTGGGGTTTACGCCCTCACTCTGCCACCAACTCTCTGCACAGCTTTGGACAAGTCACCTCATCTCAGTCTGGCTCAGTTTCTTCATCTGTAAAACAGATAATCTGAATACTTAACTCAGAGGCTTACTGATGGTATGAAATAAGCGCAAATGTAAACATACCCCCCCACATTCATGGACACAAACGAGAGCATCACAGCATAAGAATTGCTCCATACCCTTCTTTTTCACTTAGTATACCATGGAGATCTGAGGCTTTCCTTTTGGTGACTTCACCCACTTACACGGCTATAAATAGCACCTCCAAGCTAGTCACCCCAATTTTCTAGTGCTAGCCCAAGCTTCTTTAGTGCTAGGCTGCCCAGCATCTGCACTTGAATGTACTGCAGGCATTTCAAACCAAACATACCAAAAGAAAATCTGATTTTTCTCCCCAGCCCTATTCTTCCCTCGGCCGCCTTCATCTTGGCACACTGCACTAGCTTCTGACCACTGCCTTCAGCCCAAGCTGTGTGTTATGCTGGCTCCTTCCTTCTAACCCAACCTCTTCTTTATCACCTCTGTGAACACCCTCACGTGAGACAGATGACGGTCCTAGTGGCTCCCCCTTGCACTCCTACGCCCCTCCACCACCAGCCAACAGTGCCACCATGACCTTGCACCATGCTTGCCCACAGCACTCTGCTGCCTAGAGCCATGTACCTTGCTACTCGTTTCAAAAGGCCCACACCACTTCATCTCCTCCCCAGTACGTGTACTCTGACCCTTATCCAAGACTGCAATCTCATCTCAGGGCGTTCTCCCTCCTGCTCACTGGGATCTCTTCTAAAGTTTAAAGACTCAGGCATTCACTAAGGACACTGCACCCCAATCCAACCACTACTCCTCAAGCTGCTCTCCACGTGGGTGCCTTTATCTCGTCCCCTCTGTTGGAGCCTGACTGATTTCTCCTCATACACAGGTCCTGCCCATCACAGCAGTGCATTTCGATGGCAGCACTTAACTCTCCACAGCCTGCTGAGTCAGTGGAAGGAAGATACCATGAGGACAAGAACAATGCCTGTCCTACTTACCATGTGGCTCCCAGGGCCTATACAGTGCCTGGTACCTAACAGGCTCTCCAGAAACATTGGGAAAACAATAACAAACGGCAAACAAGTAGCTACCTAAGCATTCTCAAACACCTGAAAACAAAAATTAATACTTATAGTTATTAAATTACTGAACTTTATATGAAATCTTAGTATTCTTCCTGCTGAACATACAAAGTATCAAAAAAATTCATAATTCTCTTCTGTTTTTTTCTATTAGAATTAAGAAAAAGTCAATCTATTACAGTTCAAATATTTGCCTCCTTCAAGTACTATGTTGAAATTTAGTTGCCAGTGAAACAGTATTGGGGCTAGGGAGATGGCTCAGTGGAATAAGCGCTTTACTGGCAAGTGCAAGGGCCTGAGTCCAATCCCTGGTTCTGCAAAAAAAGAAAGAGAGAGAGAGAGAGAGAGAGAGAGAGAGAGAGAGAATTAAGATGGGGACCTTTGACAGGTGATTAGGGCATGAGGTCTTAGCCCTCATGGGTGGCATAACATGGTTAGAAAAGGTAAGTTAGGCCCCTTTTTCTGTTACTCCTCCTTTTACTGAAACAGCAAGAAAGTCCTTGCCAGATGTCAACACCTTGATATTAAACTTCCCAACCTTCAGAACCAAGAGACAATGAACTTTGGTGATTACAAACTACCTAATCTCAGGTAGTTGGTGAC